TGAAGGTGCTTTTCAAACAAAGGCAGGGAGTTGACAAGTGGATGGGAATACTGGGAATGGGAGGAAATCTGAGTGCTTGGATGATGTGTTTGTGTGTGTGCATACATGTAAACGTGCATATGTGCACACACGTTTGTGTAAATGTGTATGCACATGTGTATGCATGCATATAGTTAAAGGCACAGTATAGGCTTTCATTTACAAATTATATCAACAAATACCTCAGCATCTTATACAAAATTCTTCCCAAATTCAATTGCTTTCAAGAATTGACCTGTAAAACAAATCCTGAGACAGCCCCTGACAAGTCCAGAGTGGACAGATAGCAATGACTACACAGAGCCAGAGAGGTCTACAGTTTTCCTTTGAGATCACAGCTCTATGGCATCCCTCCATCAAGCAGCCAGGGGTTTGTCTTGTAATCAGGGTATGACAAATTCTTGGAGTGTCTTTTCTGTTTGCCTCGTGTCCTGAGCTGTGTCATTTAAGAGGATAGCTGATCTTCTGGATGCATTTAATTTCTTTTTGAAGGGTGCTTCTGGGCATAGCACAGCAGCTGCAGGCAATTTTTGCTACACAATCAGGGTTGATCTTCAGAGAGAAGAGAAGCAAAAGTTTTTCCCTGGGAAAAAAGTTATGGGGTTCCCCTGACGTATGGATTTAGAAACATTTTGCTAGTCTTTGTCAGTTCAGCAAAAAATTCTTTTGCTACAATTGGCAAAGAGAGGGAGTGGGGAGATTCTCATACCTAAAATGATTAGCTTTTAGGAAGGCCTTTGGATATATTTGAGTTTCCACCTAATTGTAGCACATTTCAAACCGTATTCAAGTGGCTTTATTTTTCTTATATTTTTTACTAAACTCCAATACAATTAAACAGTTGTGTTGATCCCATCTCTTGTGAAAAAGGAAAGGAAAAAGGTTGGCGGGCAGGCAAGAAAACAGACATACAGATATATATATAAAGAAATAAAACCCACCATCTACATTGACTATGAACTTCTCTAATCATACAAAATTGTTTGCCCATGTAGCTCTGTATCCAGCTGTGCTTGACAAGTTCCTTTTACCCACTTGCTTCAGTTTGCATCACTTCAAATGCTCTGGCATCAATACTAAGGTGCTCACATGGTAGTAACACTCGCTGGGTGCCGGTCAGGTAGGGGGTGGGGGGTGGGGGCTAGAGCAGGTGGGGTGAGTAAACCCACAGCTAATGGAGACGGGGTGCCCTGTATGGGGAAAGGACACACTTATGGCCCTGGCTTGAGTGAAGCAAATGCATTTCATGTAACCAAAATATTTGTACCCCCATAATATCCTGAATAAAAGAAAATAAAAAACCTCATCACATTGTATACTGTAAATATATATAATTTTTATTGATCAATTATACCTCAGTAAAGCTGGGCAAAAACCCAATGGCTCTCTCCCCATAAAACAAATAAAAATGCAGTTGATTCTTGTTATTCGCAGTGGCTATATTCTATTAATATTATAAAGTCACTGCAAAACTGAATTAGTGAATACTAAAACACTGCTTTTAGGGGAAATAGAGGGCTTGGTTCCTATGAGTCTCTGATCCCAACATTTTCATCAACTGATCAATATGCAACCTTGCTTATGTGTGTTTCTCTTTGATTCATTAACAATATGATTGATTCATTAACATCGAACTCACAGCCCGCAGCATTATAACTCACAACTGAGTGAAGCTCATCTAACCCATGAATTCTCTCCATAAGGCCAAGCACAGCCTTCTTGTGCTCAGGGACACTAGGCAGCACCTCAGCACTACACTTCGGGGGTCATTTTAAACAGAAAATCACCAAGAAAAAGCACAAAAATGCCAAAAACATGGCACCAAATAGACCAAGAAAAGGACACTCTTTATAGTCTGAGCTAAAAGAAGAAGGCAGTGTTGCCGTGTTTGACCTCAGCTGGGAACGTGCAACTCGAATTTTTCACCACTCTGTGCATGTCAAAGAATGATTACAAAGGTGCTGTGAGTATTAATTTGAGGGCTATAAACAATTTTAGTCAGTAGGTGAATTTGCAAATATGGAAACTGAATGATGAGGGTAATGTGAATAATGAGAAATGGAATAATATGGAAACTTAACGATAATGATATGCAGGGTTATATTTTGTGTTTTGGGAAAACCTCCTTTGTGTTCACTGCATTCTTCTTTAGACTATGGGGGTTTCAGACTGGTCTAGTAGCCTTTGCATATTAGAGACCTTCGGTGGCGGTCACCTTGTCACTTTTGCTTCTAAATTTCTTGTCTGAGAACTTAATTTCTTTAGTTCAAGACTTTGATCCCTACTAAAATGTAAATCTCCATGAGAGACATGACATTCTAGGATGTAATCACTTACTTTTTGATATGAATAAATGAAGTTGAGAACTTCTGGGGGTAGTAGGCTATGAAAGGGGGAGTTCAGACTCAACAATCTCCTCCAAGTACTGGCCACTTTCTCTCCACACTGCCTCAGTCATCTGGTGACCTTTCACTTCTTCCTATCCCCTCAGTTAAGATGGCTTCTATATCCACAGCTCTAGCCACTAACTCTCTCATGAGCTCCAAGCCACCCCATTAATGTATCTCTGTTGGTTCAAAATTAGTATACACAGAATGGAATTTATCACCCTTACCCTCCAACTCATGCCCTAACTCTACTATGCAAATAAAGGAGACCCTCTTCTCTTAGTCACCTAGACTAGAAATCTTAGTGTTATTTGCAATATCTTTCTTTTCTTCATATCCAGTCAGTAATCACATACAGCTATAACATCTTTTCTATAACATCTGTCTCTTTCTTGTACAATAACCCTCTGATTACCCCACCTGCTCTGCCCTTGTCTCTCTTCCCTCTAAATCATCATGTACATTGATGGTACAACCTTCTCAAACCCATGCCACTCAGGCCCAAAAGCCCACTAGGACTCCTCACTATACAATATACTAAGAAACTCTCATTCCCTTTCCTGGCATTCAAGACCCTCTGCAATCTCAATCAACGAACTTCTCACTCTCTTCTCCCACCTGATTTCACACCAATTATATGTGTTGGGATGCTAGAATAAGTGACAGAGTAACTATTTATCAAATCCCAAATTAGGACACTTCCTTTGATAAGTAAAAGAATAATTGGGCCAGGCATGGTGGCTCACACCTATAATCTTAGCACTTTGGGAGGACCAGGTGGGAGGATCATTTGAGGCCAGGGATTTGAAGTCAGAATGAGCAACATAGACCCATCTCTACAAAAAATAGAAAAATTAACCAGTCATGGTTGTGTGCCACCTGTAGTCCTTGCTACTCAGGAGGCTGAGGTGGGAGGATCTCTTGAGCCCAGGAGTTTAAGGTTGCAGTGAGCTATGATGACAACACTGCACTGGAGCCTGGGCAAAAGAGCAAGATTGTGTCTCAAAAAAAACCCAAAAAACAAACAAAAACAAAAAAAAACCGAAGAAGAATAAGAATTATGAGGATAATGAGAGAGGATTGTTTTAGTCTATACATTATTGGGAAATTCTAGATCATCTACTGTAATTTTTCCTTCTCAGTTCTTTCCTGACTCTGTGTCACCATTTTTTCTACCTAGAACCGTCCTTTGTTTCGTCATTCTCCTCACTCTCATTCTCCAGTCTATTGATAATCCCTGCATCTCCCCTGCTCCAGATTGAATGCACACCCTCCACTGCACGATTTAAATTAATTTCTCCGCTTTTGGTGCTCTAAGGATTTTTAAAAATCCTTTCTATATTTCCTTCACACTAAAGAAGCATGTATGTATTTTATTCACCTTGAAGTTCCCCTTAGCATCTGGTTATAATAAACCTCTCTTGGATGTCTGTTCTATAATAAGCACTCTTATTGCCTCACTTGATTCTCACAACAAACTTCTCGTGTGCTATTGGCGTTTTACAATTGAGGGAATTGCATCCCATGATAGCAAAGTAACTAGTCCAGATTCACACGGTAAGTAAGTGGTAGGCCTGGAATTCAAATCCGGTTATCTGTGGCACTGGAGCGCTGCACACACAGGAAGTGCTCAAACAACAGTCCTTTCAAAATTGCATTGAGTCAGGTGCACCGAGAGATAAGGGACTCTTTCTGCAAAAGAAGTTAGAACTGAGGAGATTAAAGGCCCTGATATTTTCTCTTCGTAACAAGAAAGATACCAGATAACTGATTAGATTTCAAAGATCATTGTTGATGAAGTATGAGGGAAATGAATGAGAGCAGAGAGGTAAAAAAATAATAATAATTTAAAAAATGTTTGTTCAAAATGCATTTCCTCTCTCCTTTATCAGAGGTGGAGGTTTTCTCTTTTGCTGCTTGCTGGGAAATTGCTCAAACATCCCCGTGTACACTGAGTCATACATTGAGTCAGCAGCTGCAGCAGCGCTCTGCTGTTTCAGGGAGCGTTAGCAGACCACCGCAGGGTGCGGGCCATGACCTTCAGAGCCCTGTGGGCCCTGGGCTCACCTCCCATACCATTCGCTTACGCACCTGCAGGGCATATACCTACCCCCAGTGAGAGGTGTCACCTTGGATACAAAATGGCATTCGACTCAGGAGGACCAGACAGAAAAACTTACACCACTCCATTTGAAGTGTTCTGGAAAAAAGTCCACCTGTGACAAGATAGCAAGTCTTAAGTGTCCTTGGAAATTTTCTGCCTCCACTTGGCATAGGAAAGGGGCCAGCCTTGTCTCCCAAATGGGGACTGAAATGGGGAGTGGTGGTGCCCTAATTATTACTGCCATTAATATTAATGCATGGACTCCACTTCCACCAACCCATCTTGATGACCTTATAACAGGGTCATTGCGGGTCTGAGTAGTCTAAGGCTTCCAGAGCGAAATTGCTCCATCAAATTTGGACTTTCTTGATGAGATGCCTCTGGCTTCATCATGCGATCAGCTCTCATGAAGTTGAAAGCAGGCTGCTATTCCATTTTAATTTCTTTTTCTTTTCTTTTCTTCCCCTTAGGGATTTTGGATGAAAGAGTTTATTAGCTGGCTTCACTGGCTTGTCTCCCCAAAGCCTGAAACTATACTTCAAACTTAGCTGCGGCCCTTTCTTTGTGAGCGTGCCAGCTATGGAAGTGCAGGCCCAGCAGGTGCAAACTGTTTGTTCAAGTCGTCCTTCCTGCACAAAGCTTGAGAACAAGCCCCGCTAGGAAAGAGAGCGCCGTTCCCAACAGCAGAAAACACTGAGAGAATGATCACTTTCATCAACTGAATACAATTCCATAATCTACTTTCCACAATGCCAAAGTCCAAAAGGCTCTGAAGAACAAAACTTTTTGTTTTGTTTTGCTTATAAATCTGTAGCAAGCTCATTTGGTGGTAAAGTCTGCCTGAACTGGCATGAAGCTATTCATAATCTTTGTAATTTTTATCTGATTTAATATGAATATTCACATTGTGCTGCAAAAAATTAATATGTTTAATTATAAGGCATTCCCTGATATAGTGCGCGTGTGTGTGTGTATGTGCGTGTGTGTATTTACCTGAAATATTCTAAATCTCAAAACACATATAACTAGAGAGATTGTAGGTAGGGAACTATAGACCCATGGTATAAAAACAAAACAATTTCTCCTTAATATAATAACTTCATGATAGGTTTTATCCCATCTCTATGTTCATGAATTTCGATTTCTTTCTTTTACAGTGTTGGAACTTGCTTGCTGGCCCAAGAAAAGCCTCTTTGTTGTCATGGAACAAGTCCTAGAGTCGGTGAGCTTGAAAGCCTGAAAGAAATAATTTAACCTCTCTGAGCTTCAATTTCTCCATCTGTAAAATGGGAATGAAAATTCCAGTCCTGAATTACTTCCAGGGCAGGTTTGAAACTCAAATGGGAGAGTGCTGTGAAATGGGAAAACACTAAAAAAGTATCAGATATGATTATCAAAGCCAAACCACATGATCATTCAAGTTGTGTTCTTTACAAAATTCTTTCTCATTTTAAAAATACATGCTCCATTAGTTCATTTAGGCCAAGCCTGTCCTCTCAGTCTGCAGCCATATTGAATAAGCGATGAGTACCATACCTGGGCAAACTTATGAATATGTCTTTGTATTCACTTAAAGCATAGGAACGCACCTGCTTAGATTGCATTAGGGTTGAAATATTTCAGAATAAGAGCTTCTGGCCCTTTGATTACTAAGCGTCTTTGGTAATAACAATGCATTAGAAAAAAAATTTCTGTTGCAGTTTGGAAAGAGAGCAAAACCAAGAGAAGGAGTTTGTGCCAACACACAACTAGCATGGTTGTGTATGGTAATTAATTTTAAGTGGTTTATATTAGTGGATCAAAGGAATGCCCTAAACACAGTAGATAAGATCCTAGTACCAGGCTGAAACTGGAGTGGGCAGAAATCAGCCCAACAAAGCCAGATATAAAGAATTAGAGACAAAGACTAAAAGGAAGGGGCAGGCAGTCCAGAAATCCCTAGGGCTTTTGGCTAAGGTAGATTTACCTTCCATAGGGCAAATATTCTCTTTGTTCTCAGAGATTAAAATATGTATGTTTGGGACAAACGCAGGAGTTAGGTACCTTAAATAAGGACTTCAAGGAAGCCTAGAATTAAATATAGCAATGACAATAACTTGCAATTTACTGTCTGCCTACTATGTGCTGGGCATTTAAATACATTATCATACAATCTTTAAACCCTCTTTATATGGCAGGTACAATTATCACCCTCCTGTATTCTGTCTATCTATTTCTGTTTAGCAAACCATCCCAAAACTCGGTGGCTTAAAACAATAATTTCTTATTATGTCTCATGATTCTCTGAGTTAACTGAGCTCAGCTGTGCAGTTCTCTTTTGGGGTTTCAGGCAGTAGCTGTAAGAAGTAGGTGGGGATAGAGACATCTGATGATTTAACTGACATCCACAATGGCTTCTTTACTCCTGTCTGGGATGAGTAAACATCCCTAGATGGGATAGTTGGAATGTCTGGGGACTGGCTTGGTATCTCTTGTCTCTCAGGTCTTCTCCAGAGACCAGCATGGGCTTCCTCAATGCATGGCAATCTCAGGTTAATCAGACTTCTTATATAGCAGCTTTCTTCCCCAGGATTGAATTTTCCAAGGGAACCAGGTGGGAGCGGTAAGGTTTCTTAGGACCTAGCCTCAAAAGTCATGCTGAGTTGCCTCCACTAGTTCTATTGGTCAAAAGAGAATTACAGGCCGGGGTGCAGTGGCTCATGCCTGTAATCCTACCACTCTGGGAGGCCAAGGCAGGCGGATCGCTCAAGGTCAGGAGTTCAAAACCAGCCTGAGCAAGAGCGAGACCCTATCTCTACTAAAAATAGAAGGAAATTAATTCTCCAACTAAAGAAATATATAGAAAAAATTAGCCAGGCATGGTGGCTCATGCTTGTAGTCCCAGCTACTAGGGAGGCTGAGGCAAAAGGATTGCTTGAGCCCAGGAGTTGAAGGTTGCTGTGAGCCAGGCTAATGCCATGGGCACCCTAGCCCAGGCAACAGAGTGAGACCCTGTCTCAAAAAAAAAAAAAGAGAGAGAATTACAGGACCAGCCCCTAAGGAAGGGGCTTATACAAAGGTGTAGATATTAAGAAGTGTGGCTAATTGGGGGACTATCTTTAGACACTTATAAATGTATATGTGTGTTTTATATATATAAAACAAATAAAAATATAAATTTTATAAGAAATCATGTTGTAAATGAGAGAATTAAGGTTTTGCAAGGTCAGTCTATTTGTCCAAGGTCAAACACCTTGAAGATAGTCAAGGTGGAGCTTAAATCCTATTCTCTATGATTCCACTATGCTATAATCTATCTACTAAGTAAAATTATCTGTGGGAAATTAATTAATTTATTAAAATGGTGTTTATTAAGGCATTGTACAAAAAGGCATGAACATATAATCTCTGTCCTCTAACATCTCTAGAAGGTTGGAGTTTAGAGTGAAAAAACTTCAGGCTTGGACTTAGAAAGTCGGAGTTCAAGTCTTGACTCTGCAACTCTGGGCAACTCATTTAAACTCTTCAAGACTCAGTTTCTTCAAAGGTAAAATGGAGATAAAAATGTCTTTTCTATAGGATTGATGTGAAAATAAAATAAAACAAGCTACATGAGCATGATCTTGCTAGTGATAGAGTATTATAAGAACAGTGGGCTTTAATTGAGAAAACATTGTAGAACCATGGCAGGTTATATAACAGCATAAAGGAGCAGAATGCCTTTTTCTGAGATGTGTACAAGGTGAGGCTTGGTGGACGTTAGCCAAGAGGGTGCTAGAAATGATCCTCGCACTCACTGAGGCACCGTACCCGCCGCCCTGCGCAGTTCCTTCCATCTCTGTACTCTCACCTTATGTTTCCCTGGGAAGTTTGAACAATCCTTGACTGTGGGAGGCACTCCCTTCCTTTATATAATGGCAAACCACCATTTTGTCAGGGACTAAATCAGACACCAGAGTCCCAAGGAGCTGAATCTTAAAACATCCACTCCTTAATTTTATTTTTTCACCTTGGCTTCAAAATGATTGATGTGTGGTAGATCAGTTGAGATCTGTAGGTGAAATGCTGTAGGTGCAGGGGAAGTTGTAGCTGAACACTAGTTTGAGCTTGAATTGGACTGTGTCTGATAAACTGGAACCAGACTCCAGGAGCACAGCCCCGCAGGCGGAGATGGGTGGGGAGGAAGGAGGACAGTTCCAGCCAAGTCCTGAGCTGGGCCAATTAACCAGATCTGAACCCTGGGGAGAGGCTGCAGCAGCCACAGGTGAAAGTTCAAGAACTCAGACTCACAAAGATTTTCTGTCATGCTCTGGTGAACGAACAGTGCGGCTTTTGGTACCAGGTGACAAAGAGAAACAAAGCAGGATTTGGCCACACTCTCTTTTCTTTTTGTAACTCCTTGTGGTTGGCATAGAGAGGCCTGTTTGGGTACTAAGGGTGTCACTTAGGAAGAGGCAGTGAACCTTTGAACTCTAAGAAGTAATGAGAATGCACGTTGTTTGCATGGATGTGGGTAAATTCAGGATAAAGAACAGCTGGCTCCTAATGTAGATTTAAGCTGTGTAGAGCAATGTTTCCCAAACCTCTCTGCAGGGATTCATTTTTTTCCTTTTCCATGATAGTAAATAATACTGCCCAAGAAATAAATAAACCTTTTTAGCTTTTTTTAAAAAAATGGTGTCCAATTTAGTGAATTTTAGTATATTCACAAAGTTATAATCATCACCGCTATCTAATTCCGTAAGATTTTTATCACACCGAAATGAAACCCATTAGCAGTCACTCTCCATTCCCCTCTCCTTCTAGTACCTGGCAACCACTGATCTGCTTTCTGTTTCTATTGTGGACACTGCATATAAATGGAATCATGCAATGTGTGGTCTTGCCTGTCTGGCTTCTTTCACTCAGCACAGTGTTTTCCAAGTCCATCTCTGTTGCAGCCTATATCAGTACTTCATTCTTTTTATTTACAAATAATATTCCATTATATGGATATACCACTCTTGCTTATCCATTCATCAATTGACAGACATTCAGGCTGTTTCTACTCTTGAACTATTCTGAATAATGTCACTATGGACATTTGTATACAAGTTTTAGTGTGGATGTATGTCTTCAATCGTCTTAAGTATATACCTAAGAGTGGACTTTCTGGTACTTATGGTAACTCTATATTTAACATTTTGAGAAACTGCCAAACTATTTCAAATAAAACATTGTAATAGATAATTTTTAATTTTTTTCCTAATAAGGCTATAGATAATAATCATTTCTGATCAGCATGAGATAACTGTTGTTACTATATTGAATGCTTATCTTTTTGGCCAGAAGCTGAGAAATGTGCCATATAATCTATATAAACTAATTTTTGGCAAATGGTAGTTTTCTTTAGACTTCTTTCAATCTCGGCAATAGCTGAGTCCTCTCATTAGAGCATGTTTGAAAGTCCATAGGCATCTAGAACTCCAGGTTGGGAACATGGCAAAGAGTAAAAACAGCTTCTAGAAATACTTTGCTAGAGTTTAGGACACTTATCTTCTTTCCTTTTTCCTCTCCCTCAACTGAAGGCATTTAAAACAAAATGAAACAAAACAAAGCAAAACCTCTTAAAACAAGCAGTGAATTGATTGTTCCTGTTTTAGGATTTTATGGACTAGTAAAAAGTTTTGTTAAAATGATGCACTTACATATGTTTGTCAGATTTCTATTTTGCCAAATAAAAACATTAAAAAACTATCTTGTGTCACCATGACTTTATCAGTGAAAACACAACTCCCCCCCAAAATATATACCAGACTAAAAGGCAGTTTTTAAAATTTGTTTTAATAATTGTTTTTTTATAAACTTACCAGTTGAATTTTTCTCATTTTGTTATGGGCCAATGAAAACTCCCTCATGGACAAGAAGGACAAAATCAGATCATACTAAGTAATGATAAAATAATTCAGTCTGGCAGGTGTATTAAAGCTAATAAAACATAAGTGTTCCTAGTCTCATCCACCTTGCTCTCACTACAAAAATGTTCTCTCACTTCCCTAGTGAAATTATTTCCCCTCTATCTCTTCCTTTCCAAGAAAGATTTCTCAACAACACAGTTTTCCTAGGCTTTTGAGATTTGATAATGGGGAAGACCCTGGGAGAAAGACCAGTAAGGGATTACTAAAAGAGGTAAGTTGATCTACATGATAAAGAACTAGGAAGGAGAGGGGTGAAGAATATTGAGAAAGAAGGGAAAACATCCATTGTTCTGAGGGTAGTTTTCTTTGGGTGGGTGCGGTGTTGAGAATGACTGATTCCAGGAAGTGTGGGGTGTGAGAGACTTAGGGATAACAAGAATGAATATAAACTCTCTTGCTTGGCTAAAGTAGGTCTTCTTTACCATTTTGGGGAACTATTAAACAAAAAGATTGTAATTCTTTTTTAAAAAAATATAGAGACTGGATCTCATGACCCAGGATTCACACAGGTCACATGAAATTGGACAGCGGACCATGTTTGGCCTTCAGACTGTCAGTCTCCCACTGCAACTGGCGTTTCTGCACATCTTCTCCAAGACATTTTCATTGTGTTCTTTTATCTCCCAAGCGAACTTTTCTCTTAGAA